GACACGGGGCTAGAGAGCGAGACGGAGACACGGGGCTGGCGAGAGAGACGGAAGCTCCGTGCGGTTTTGGGTGCCCGCAGTTGAAGCGCCAACGAACTGGACCACGACGCTGCGAGTGGGTGGAGGCCTCCTCCTCTGTACCCAGTGGGCATACTCATAATCATACTCAAAATCATACTCAAAATCATACTCATAATCATACTCATAATCATACTCATAATCATACTCAAAATCATACTCATAATCATACTCATAATCATACTCATAATCATATTCTAAATCATACTCATAATCATACTCATAATCATACTCAAAATCATACTCATAATCATACTCAAAATCATAATCATACTCATAATCATACTCATAATCATACTCAAAATCTTACTCATAATCATACTCATAATCATACTCATAATCATACTCATAATCATACTAATGTTTAACACAATGCGAGTGGGCACGCCAAATAGAGGCGTTAAGTAACACGATTAATCGGATGCATAATTCACCACAAGCACCATACAAAGCACCTCCACTTGACTGATTCGACTCTCCACCCCTGAACAGATTTGTCAATAACACCGTGGCCTCAAAATGAGAAGTATCGAATAGACGACGTTTTGGACAATGGCCCTTCTTTACAACATCCTGGAACAGACTAAGAGTTTAGTTTTTACATTTGATGGCAGTAAGACACCCACCGTTCTATCCCGCTGACACGAAGTCAAAAGGCATTCCTGCTGCTCGTGTCAGCATTGAGGCAATGGTGCTCGACTGCTGTTTACAACCAAGACCCAGTGGCGGAAATTCCACATTCCTATGTCTGGGGCGAGTCTCTCCATAGGACAACCACTGTTGACTTCCCCACAAAGTGGTGCTATTGTATCGACCCTCGAGGGATGATGGGCTGAGTCGATCCGCAACCAGGAACTTGCGACTATTCCTGCACGTGAGCCGCGCGGTGATGTGCAGCTGCACTCGCGCCCCAGGCTGTGGGTGAACTGCACCTCCATAGCCCTGGGATGTGCTTTACGGATATCTGTGGGCTGCACAGGGGTGGTGTCCATTTGTTTGCGCGTGTGATCACGGCGCGGCGCGTACACGCGTGAACGAATTAAACGCGCTTTTAAAATGCTGCGATGATATATGCCGATGCAGAGGTGGCTTCATCAGTAGGCGCGCGTGCGCGCGTGTGTGTCTGTGACCGTGCATTGTGGCAGATGGACGTCATGCACCGCGAATGCAGGTTCATGCTGGCGTTGAGACACGCAGAGGAGCGCTGCACAGAGGGGCTCTTGGCCACGAGGAATGACAGCCACGAGCCGGGTGCGAGCACACCGCACCCTCGGCACCACTGACAGGGGCAGCCGCTTACACAGTCGTCGTCATCATTGACATCATCGTCATCGTCATGACCAGCCATGGTCAATCCACTGTGGGATGAAGGCCTCGCCCAAGGCGCCCGCCACATCTCGTGACACAGCGATGTGACAATCCACCCGGCATCTGCGCACGAACTGATTTCATCGGTCCATCTCCTCGGTAGACGAGTTCCATTCCTTGGCAGCCAGCACCATTAATAATCTTAACCGTGTGTCAACAATGCTTCTGGCGAAGTTTCCTGCCCACGGCCGCTTATTTTTCTTAAGCGTTTGAATTACTTTATTAACCTGCGTATGTCCTCAAAGCCATGTGTTGCTGTGCCTGTCTCTCAATGTGATTGCAAGCATGCATCCCCGATAGTAATCTTTCTTCTTTCGGAAGATCGATTTGTTACTTTGCATACTCAAGCTCAGTTTTACAAAAAGCGCTGTCACCTGCGACGCTTTATTTCACCTTGATTCCACTTCACCTGATTCCACTTCACCTTGAGCAGCTGCTCTCGGCCCACACTCCCGCCGTTGTGTCCCTCACACTGAGCCTCCTCTTGCCCAGCGAACTTGCTCGCTACTTTGTTTTTCTCGTCTATTCCGAGTGGGGTTTTTTTCGACCTGGCAAACGTCGCTTACATTGTCACTGTGAGGGTCCTTTGCAGGGCGGACCTCACTGAGTGTGCTGATGAGCTCAGCAAGGAACAGATTCCACGTAGTCGTCTCTCTCGGCCTGCACACAATCATTTCCACTGGATGGAGATTCTTGGTGAATAATTTGGATGTCGCCTTCATTATAATTCAACATTTTGTAGATGCACACACACGGGCCCACGATTAGATTAGTCCTTGAGCACGGACGTTATTCATACTTAACATCATATTAACATCATATTAACATCACATTAGCTTGCTGAGGCTATTTTGTGATTCTGTAAGATTCACCGGTTTATTGCATGCACAATTTATGGGCTCGGTAAATTTAATGGATAATTTAAAATCATTATATAGGCGCTAAATATGATGGAATATCACATTTGCATTACACAGTTTTATACCAAATGATTGAACGCCAATCTTTAATTGAGTTAATTATTTCCCGCATATAATGTGTTTTTAAAATGTTACAAATGCGTTCTCACGCATAAACTACCAGCCTATTTCAAAAGAATGATAATTGCCACGCGTGTAGGTTTATAAGCGCTGAACACACCGAGCTCGATGCTCCACTGTGATGTATCAACATTGACGGACAGTGACGGGGCACAGCCGTAGCCACTTGTTGTAGAGGCTCACGGTTCGATTCCAGCGTCCGCTCTAGTTAATACTGCGATTGTAATAGCAGCCATACTACTACTACACACCGTCTGCTGCACAGGCCATCGCGTGCCCCGCAGATTGCTCCATTGGGACGATGCACAGCGATCATCGCTTCCCACTCGCACGCTCGTGCCCACGTCACACTCGTGCCCACGTCACACTCGTGTCCCCACGTCACACTCGTGCCCCACGTCACACTCATGCCCCACGTCACACTCGTGTCCCCACGTCACACTCGTGTCCCCACGTCACACTCGTGCCCCACGTCACACTCTTGTCCCCACGTCACACTCGTGCCCCACGTCACACTCGTGTCCCACGTCACGCTCGTGCCCCACGTCACACTCATGCCCCACGTCACACTCGTGTCCCCACGTCACACTCGTGTCCCCACGTCACACTCGTGCCCCACGTCACACTCTTGTCCCCACGTCACACTCGTGCCCCACGTCACACTCGTGTCCCCACGTCACACTCGTGTCCCCACGTCACACTCGTGCCCCACGTCACACTCGTGTCCCACGTCACGCTCGTGCCCCACGTCACACTCATTCCCCACGTCACACTCGTGTCCCCACGTCACACTCGTGCCCCACGTCACACTCGTGCCCCACGTCACACTCGTGTCCCCACGTCACACTCGTGTCCCCACGTCACACTCGTGCCCCACGTCACACTCGTGTCCCCACGTCACACTCGTGTCCCCACGTCACACTCGTGCCCCACGTCACACTCGTGTCCCCACGTCACACTCGTGCCCCACGTCACACTCGTGTCCCCACGTCACACTCGTGTCCCCACGTCACACTCGTGTCCCCACGTCACGCTCGTGCCCCACGTCACACTCCTGTCCCCACGTCACACTCGTGTCCCCACGTCACACTCGTGCCCCACGTCACACTCGTGTCCCCACGTCACGCTCGTGCCCCACGTCACACTCGTGTCCCCACGTCACGATCATTAAGGACCTTCATGATGGTGAGCGGGCCCGGGTAAAACTACGTGGCCGGGAGTCAGAGCCATTCCCTGTTAACCTTGGGGTGCGACAGGGATGTCCTCTGGCTCCCACATTATTTAACATCTATTTTGACCACGTAGTTCGTGAAGCCTTCAATAGCTGTACCGGGGGAATCTCCATATGGTACAGATATAATGGGAGGCTGATCGACGCCCGGGTGTGGTCAAGGGATGGCTCCCTATTGCTCAACCACGTTATGTATGCTGATGATTTGGTAATAGCTGCACATTCGGAGGAGTTGGAGACGCTGCTGCTGAGACTGGAGCGTGCCACTAAGAGGTGGGGCCTTACCATCAGCCCCACCAAAACTAAGCACCTGCCTGGGTATTTTGTACCATCGGACACTCCACCCCCACAACTCCCAATCGGTGATGGGGCAGTTGTGGAGAGAGTGGAGAGTTTCCCATACCTGGGCAGTGTGCTTATGACCGGCTCCAGTTTAACAGCAGAGGTCTCACTCCAAATCAGTCGAGCGGCAATATCTTTTCATCGGTTGCGTAACGCTGTGTGGAAGCTACCTGGTCTGTTGCTCCGCACTAAGCTTCAGGTCTTCTCGGACACGGTCATTCCCTCCCTTCTCTACGCTTGCGAAACGTGGACCCCCCTAATGGAACATCTTTGCCGGTTAGAAACATTTAGGCTGGCCTGCCTACGATCCATCCTGGGTTTAACTATACTAGATTGTGTAAGGAGCTCAAAAATCCTTGAAACATCTGGGCAAGGTCCCATCGGTGAGCTCCTCCGGCGGGGAAGGCTGCGATGGCTGGGACATGTAGCCCGCATGCCCAGCCACCGCATGCCGAAACAGCTTTTGTTCGGCCGGATTGAGGGGGCTAAGCGGGCGCGGCACGGGCTAGAGAAGAGATGGAGTGATGTGGTACAGGAGGACGTGGAGCTGAGTGGACTTGCCGATGACTGGTACCAGCGGTGTCAAGATCGGCCTCTGTGGAGGAGGCTCGTGAAGGATGCTACTGGGCAGTTGGAGGTAGTCGCCCTCCAACAACAACGGAGGGCGGAGGAGCGACGCTCAGAACAACGAGCGGAGCGCCGGGTGGCTAAAGCACAGCAGGTTGGCACAGTAGGGGGCACAGGTGGTGCATCAGCCAGTCATCTCAGTCAGTCGACCCGTGGCACCTGGGTCTGCCCCGTGACCTCCTGCCAGCGGGCGTTCGACACTTCACGTGGCCTCATGGTGCACATAGCCTGGCACAAGCGTCGTGGTGACGTCACCGCCACTTAGTGGCGAATGGCGGTTGTTGTTGTTGTCTGTGTGTGCGTGTGTGTTTGTTGTTGGCCGCGTGCAAACGAATCGTTCGTCACACTCGCTTCGCTCTCTTCTGCCCGTAGGCTGTGAAGGTATGTGGGACAGAGTCTCCTGCTGGCCACACACCGCCCTGGGCCAGAACGTCACCCTCTCGTGCCCTGATTTCATCTTCTTTTTCATCAATAAACAAGGTGTGCGCACGCTGGCCACAGCCCCGGCTCCACTGCGGCTTTCTGCGCGTGACGCAGCGTCGCGTCAACGTCGAATTCTCCGCTTGTGCCCCGGCTGCCGTGTCAATGAAATAGCGCACAGCTCCCACACGCAAGTGGATGGCTGGTGTGTTTGTACAAGGACCCACTTGGAAAAGCGAAGTGGGTTTTGATCCCGCAATCAAAATAGACAACCCGACACCAGGCGAAGTGAGCCGAACAAAGAGCGCCCAGAGGCCGTGGCCGCCTCCACCACCCCCACTGCTGCCAACGCGGCCGCGGAGTGGTGCAGGGTGCAGGGCGCTCGCGGTCGGGCACTCAGCCCAACGCCCTCGCTCGGTGCCTGCAAGTGCAGAGTGGAGTACAGCAGCAGCAGCAGGCGATGCTTGTGCCGAGATCCAGATATCCATTCAGCTGTTAGAGACCATGGCGAGAGTTGTCATCCTCTTGTCCGTGCCGCCAATCCGTGATTGCCGATGAGCTACTAAGTTCAGTTCTGACTCACGTGGAGTCATTCGTGAGTACGGTACTTTGGATGTTTCTAAATCCTTCACGAGTGTACCGGAATGGATGACTCCAAGACCCTGCAGATGGGAGCGCATTCCACCGGCTACTAAACACATTGCATGGGCTGCCCACAATCTTCACGCGATCGACGCTCCCCTGCCGAGTCGAGGGTCCTGCTGCAGGGGTCCCGCTATGGCGCGGCCTTCACGGCCTTCACTGAGGGCTCCGTCCGAGCTGAGAATCTCTGGCGCGGCCCTCGATCACTGCAGCGGCACCGCGGATATAGAATCCGCACCCTCGTCGTAGAATGTCCTCGGAGGAATTCTCACAATTTGCGAGGTTGAAAACTCACTTGTTTCCGAACCTTGCACGATGATCCATAGTTGGGTTTTGTGTTAGGCCACGGAATGATCAGGTAGAAACGCCCTCCACCACCCGACACAGGCAAGCGAATGTAATCGCCACGTGACGCACACGCGTTTCACGACGCGCTCATCAGCGTGGCTTCGCCTCGCTCACAGATGAGTTGCAGGACAATCTTCAAAACCAAATGTAGCAATGGCATCAATATGTTCTACGTGATTAGTTTATTACACACTCGAGTGTGTACAGTGTTATTGGCTGTTTTATAATCTTGTTGTCACTATGTTCATGCGGGCAGTACCCTGTTTAATTGCTTCTTAATTCCACTGGCATCTTTTGCTTGTGTGACGCGCGATGCCAAATAATACCCGATGGTTGTCTACACACGATATCTCCGACCATGTATTCATTCATCCTCTTCTCTCGTTTAAAAAATGTCCACAGAAGGCTTTGCTGTGAGCTGATTGATCCACGGTTAGCCTTGACTCGGATGGAAGCGCAACATTCTCGAAAAACGTTGTGCAATGCACGATTCACAAATTGACACAAACACCAAAGATGATACTCTTTGGTTCTATTCGGTAAAGTCACGTAGGTAAAAAATGAAACAACAAAAAATCACGACGTTTCGACCACAACACAAGCGGCCTTCATCATGTGAAGGGATCAGACTGTCTCGAGGACAGCGCTGGAGTGGAACACAGCCACGCTCAGACCGCGACCTTTAAGCTGTGTGCGAGGAAACAAGGTGCCTTGACAAAGGAATTAGCATAAAAATTAGCATTTGATTGCCCGACTTAGCATAGAAGTGGTGTACATGCAAGTGCACATGCCGGTTGGCGCGGGGGGGGGGGGGGGGGATTTTACCTATTGATGGTGTGAAAAGGGAATTTAAGAGCTGCGAAAGTTTGGGGTATCACTACTTGAACATCATTCCAATGGTTGATGACACCAAAGATGACTCGCAGATCGTCTCCAGCCCTTCGACAAAAGGAGGCATGGACATACAGTATGTGTGCAGGACCCATAAAGGTGTGCAGGACCCATACAGGTGTGCAGGACCCATACAGGTGTGCAGGGCCCATACAGGTGTGCAGGACCCATACAGGTGTGCAGGGCCCATACAGGCGTGCAGGACCCATACAGGTGTGCAGGACCCATACAGGTGTGCAGGACCCATACAGGTGTGCAGGGCCCATACAGGTGTGCAGGACCCATACAGGTGTGCAGGGCCCATACAGGTGTGCAGGACCCATACAGGTGTGCAGGGCCCATACAGGTGTGCAGGGCCCATACAGGTGTGCAGGACCCATACAGGTGTGCAGGACCCATACAGGTGTGCAGGGCCCATACAGGTGTGCAGGACCCATACAGGTGTGCAGGGCCCATACAGGTGTGCAGGGCCCATACAGGTGTGCAGGGTCCATACAGGTGTGCAGGACCCATACAGGTGTGCAGGGCCCATACAGGTGTGCAGGGCCCATACAGGTGTGCAGGACCCATACAGGTGTGCAGGGCCCATACAGGTGTGCAGGACCCATACAGGTGTGCAGGTTACCTGGATGGGTCCTGCACACCTGATAGCATATTAATCACTTGGCAGGCAAACTGAAAATTCTAGTCCTAAGATCCGGAATATCGCGAGTAATTATTATTAACAAATGGGGCAGCAAGGTGGCAACACTCGTGCGTCACAGCAAGGCGTCCTGGGTTCGATTCCCAACTCAGGCGCCTTTATGTGTGGAGTTTGTTTGTTCTCCCCTTGTTCTGCATGAGTTTCCACTGGGTTACCTCCCATGGCAACCCCCCCCCCCCGCCCCCATGTAACTACTATTGACCAAACATCCCAAAGCTGAAAAATTACCCACAAATTACTCAATTGGGATTACACACAGAGCAACATCGCCCCCTGCTGCGACAACTTAGCAGGACTCTCCTGAAAAACAGCTTGTTGATACTCAGCGAGGCTTTCCTGGTTCGACAAGCGCGGTAGTAATCACGCAGAGTATGTAAGTGATCTTTGCTGTTATTCGTGAGCAAGCTTAGGCCATCGACTCACTTGTGGAGCGGCTGTCAGCGCGAGTGGCTCGGTGTCGGCTTTGTGACAGTCCAGGGGATCCCCACCACTGCCTCGGTCTTGTTTGCGAGCTGCGGCAGACCACGTGGCGCGGTTATCATCAGAGCTCGCGTGCGATCAACCCTTCTCCTGCTGACCTCAGATAAGAATCACATGTCCAAGAGACGTATCGTCGCTTCTCCCTCCAGTGACGGAGTGGTCGTGGGTTGGGATCACCATTCTATTCAACAGTCAATTTTTATTTTGTCTCCTTTTTCACCGTTCTCAATTGCATCGTTTGTTTCTGGATCTCTTACACAGTTCTGTTGGTGTGTGTATATATGTGTATGTGTGTTGTGGGGAGCGATAGCGCGCTGCGCTATGAACCTGGCGACCCGGGTTCGATTCCCGCTCACGGCCAACACCAGTGACGATTATCTGAACCGGTCCCGGGCCTCCCATAGGTCGACTCAGCCTCAAATGAGTACCTGGTGCGGTGTGTAAACATTGCCACTTGGGAGACAAAGGCGGTCGGGCGTGGTGCTGGCCACCCACCCCCTCGTGTACCGTTCCGGCCTTCATAGGTGCTCGCTAAAAGCACTTGCCCCTACAGTCTGTTAAGGCTATATGGGGGATCTTTATCTTTGTGTATGTGTGTGTGTTGAACTTCATTTGTGCCGCACGTAGCCAACCGCGCAAATCGGAGCTGCCCCGTTAGCCTAAACGTAACTTTAGCGTACCATCGATATTTCTATTTTACTTGCGTGGGATAATCGATTGCTGCACGCCTCATTTTTGCTTTCTAATGGGGTGTTGCTCCCGTGTCAGTGCCTCGGGTAAGTGACCCATCCCGTCTGTGCCTCGCCCTCACGGGCGGCACCGAAGAGGGCTTCATGCAGCCAGGCACTGATCCGAAGTCCATGCCACAGTCTGGTGTCACCCCAGGAGGTTGCTCCACAGGTATCGCGGAAGGGCATCAGTGTGTGTGTGCACACAGCTCGCTGGGAGGCTGTCTCCGCCAAGCACGCTGTTTATTCTCCGAACATTTCAGCTTAGCAAAAAAAATGCAGCCCACATTTTTTTGCAAAATGACCCCAGTTGAGTGCCGTATCTAGTTTGTGAACGTCACGTTTCGCTTCTAACGCATGTTGCTCGCGTTCAAGAAGGCCCATTCGACCCTCATGTACCCAGAAGCATCGGACACAACAGAAGCATCGAATTAATGGAATTGTTTCCCTGGCCTAAAATAAAAACCCCGAAGCCGCTGGTCACCTGAAGGCTTTGGAGCCAAGACGACGGCTAACGTCAGTGACGAGTTAAATCTAAATCGGTGCTGGCTCATATTGCCCCTTCACCAACTTGCGCTGACCAACCAGCGCGGCGAGGCATGGTCGATAAACCCCCATGACTGAAAACTACAATGGGGCAGCCAATCTCCAGCAGTGGATTTGGCAAAGAGTCGTAAATAATTTCTCTGTCATGAAAAAAAAAACCCATCACCCTTATTGTGCTCCGGGAGTGTGGTTCGTTACACGCGGCATGTTTACACGCGGCGTGTTTACACGCGGGGTGTTTACACGTGTTTACACGCGGGGTGTTTACACGCGGGGTGTTTACACGTGTTTACACGCGGCGTGTTTACACGCGGCAGCAGCAGCAGCAGTAGCGGCGTGTGCGTGACGCGCGCGCTGTCTCTGTGCCGCAAGGCGCCGTGACGCAGAGCTGCACGGCGCAGGGGTGGACGGAGCCCGAGCCGCCCTACGGAGTGGCGTGCGGCTACGACAACTCGAGCCTCACGGACGTGGACAAGGTGAGCGACGCCTCTCGCACGCAGCACGGAGCCCTCGCAGCGCGGGGGGCACGCGGGGGACGGAGTGGGGGGTGATCAGCGCACTGAATGTGTCATTGTTAATGCAGGGCCGTATACAAACACAATTGACGTTTCGGGACCCCCACTCATTTGCAAAGGTATAGGTCTGCCTCTGTATGCGGTCGGTGTGGGAGACCCCCCACGGTAAACATGTCACGCACCTCGCAGCTATGCAGTCGTCATTGTGGACCTCACAATCAACGGAAATTACTTTCAGCAAAACAATTTGACGACTTACGAACGAAGGCAGCTGAGTCGGGCTGTGGTTAAATATGCGAGCAAACCAAAGCGTCGTACAAGAAGCTCAGCAGAAACCAACGAAGGCATCTTTGTCGGAGGGGTAACAACTGCAATGCACATCGCTAGTTTCCCCAGGCAGGCGTCACAGAGTCTCGTGACTCTTCGTCGGGAGGGCCTTGCCACGGGTTAACACTCGGAGGCGATGACTGCTCCGCAGATTCCCACTGAGTACTCTCCTGTAGGCCGCGATCTCGTTTTGCTTGAATTACTTTGACAAACGATGGCGTCCTCTTGCGATTTACATCACGGGATCTTTAACGTCCACTCTGAAGCAGATCGGCGTAGTTATTGCACGGTCAATACACACCAGCGCAGTATTATTCAGGGCGGCCGATGGATTTGAACCGTGAATCTGTGCAACAAGCGACGAACGCGCGACCGCCGCTAGTCCCGTGACACCGCCCGAGTGTCGCGGGCTACGATTGGACTGGCAGATTCGAGGCAGAGGCCGCTGGTTGCTGTGACGGGGAATCGCCAAAGGCGCTGAGCCGCCGCCTCCTCCGACACGCGGCACGCGCTGCAAGGTCCCTCCGTGGCCGCCCGGTGCTCACCCAGCTGCGTTGCCTTCCGGTTTGCCGAACGAATACGTGATGGGTCGCACTCATGACACGCAAAGTGCTTGCGACAAATCAGCCACAATACCTCGCTGGTCTCATCAAGAAGCGTCAAACCATCACGCGAAACTCGGCTCATCCTCACAGCGGCTTTTCACTCGCCATCGAACAAAGGCGGCGGTCAATGCATCGCGCGCTTTCAGATGCGTTCCTGAAGCCGTCTGGAACGCTCTTCCTTACGATATTAGGAAGTCACTGGAGCTCTGCACTTTTAAATGATCTACATCTAAAACTCATTTCTTGAGAACTGCTCTTTGTGTGGTCCTTCCCCCGAACCTCCGATTAGCGCGGTTGGCTACGTACGGTGCGAAGGAAGTTCAACGCACACACACACCGGCACATACACAGATCAAAGGCAGTGGGTTGGCACATGCTGGATATTAATTATATATTATATTCAAACTGGTTTAATTATTAGCTGCTGTTCACTCGCTGCCTTGGTCAAGTAAACGTCGAGGTGAACGTTAATTTTGTGATCTTAACAAACAAACGAGCAATACAAAGACATGGCCACATTCTAAGTGAAGACTGCACAGAGGTGAAGAGTACACGCGTTTACAGCCTGATAGTGTTTAAACACGGTTGTTGAACACCGGACGAACGGTGCCACAGTGTCAAGCGGCAGCAACAAACATCACTATCACAGCTGGCATATATAACAGTGAACGCGTGTTTTGAATTGAGCAAGGTCATATACGAGCTGGGACAGGAGATGACAGAAGGGAGCGAGTTCTAAAGCGGAGCATGGCGAGCGAAGAAGCAGAAAGAGCAGCGCCGTGACCTGCAGTGTGGTGATTTGGTGGGTGAGTGAGTGAGTAGAAGGGTGAGTGGGTGGGTGAGTAGGTCAGTGGGTGGGTGAGTGAGTGAGCTAATGAGTGGGTGGGTGAGTGACTGTGAGTGGGGTGAGTGAGTGGGTGAGTGAGTGGGTTAGTGAGTGGGGGATGTGAGTGGGTGGGTGAGTGAGTGAGTGGGTGAGTGAGTGAGTGAGTGGGTGAGTGAGTGAGTGAGTGGGTGAGTGAGTGGGTGAGTTGGTGGGTGGGTGGGTGGGTGAGTGGGTGAGTGAGTGAGTGGGTGGGTGAGTGAGTGAGTGGGTGAGTGAGTGGATGAGTGAGTGGGTGAGTGAGTGAGTGAGTGGGTGGGTGAGTAGGTCAATGAATCAGTGGGTGGGTGAGTAAGTGAGTGAGCTAGTGAGTGGGTGGGTGAGTGAGTGGATGAGTGGGTGAGTGAGTGGGTGAGTGGGTGAGTGGGTGGGTGGGTGAGTGGGTGAGTGAGTGATGTGAGTGGATGGGTGATGTGAGTGAGTGGGTGAGTGAGTTAGTGGGTGAGTGAGTTAGTGGGTGAGTGAGTGGGTGGGTGAGTGGGTGAGTGGGTGAGTGAGTAAGTGGGTGAGTGAGTTACTGAGTGGGTGAGTGAGTGAGTGGGTGAGTGGGTGGGTGAATGAGTGAGCGAGCTGGTGAGTGAGTGGGTGAGTGAGTGGGTGAGTAGGTCAATGAATCAGTGGGTGGGAGAGCCAGCTCGTGACTGGGTGAGTGAGTGAGTGGGTGAGTGAGTGAGTGGGTGGGTGAATGAGTGAGCGAGCTGGTGAGTGAGTGATTGTGTTGTTATGACCTGCAGTGTGGAGGTTGGACACAGTGGGGGTGAGACGAAGCAGTCTCGTGGCTGGTAGACGCCGGTAGACACCGGTAGACACGAGACCCCAGGTCGCCTTGGCTTTCTGTTGTCCAGATCATCTCTCTCGCTCATCGCCCCGGGTGATCTCGAGTTTGCTGGACTGTGTCCAGAAGAGAACGTGCAGGTCTCACCTTTGCACCGACCTCACAGCTGACGTGTTTTGCTCTGTGCATTGTAAAGTGTGGTGGGGTGTCGTCTTCTTCTTTCGTACGGCGTTAGAAATCAGCAGCAGCAGGGCTACGATCGTAAGATTACTGTTGGGAGGACATTCCACTGCAGCATCCGATGGTGGTAGCTGCGTGGCTGAGTCCGCTTGTTCCACTACAATAGGGCTGTTGTATTGGACACTCATCAGTCGTCACATAACACCTGATGGTTTGCGCCCCAACGCATTCACCAGTTTGGGTGGAGTTCCTGATCATTCTATTTATTAATAAATATCCCCACTCCCACTCATTCCTCCGCCTGCTGTTGTTGATTCGGTTGAGAGCGGTGCCCACTGCCATTGGGGCAGCAGAGAGAGTCCAGAACTGAAGACCCCACGAAGCGTCTTCAGTGCTGAAGACTCCACAAAGCGTCTTCAGTGTTGAAGACTCCTCGTGGCGTCTTCAGTGCTGAAGACTCCACGTGGCGTCTTCAGTGCTGAAGACCCCACGTGGCGTCTTCAGTGCTGAAGACCCCACGTGGCGTCTTCAGTGCTGTGACCCCACGAGGCGTCTTCAGTGCTGAAGACCCCACGTGGCGTCTTCAGTGCTGAAGACCCCACGTGGCGTCTTCAGTGCTGAAGACCCCACGTGGCGTCTTCAGTGCTGAAGACCCCACGAGGCGTCTTCAGTGTTGAAGACCTCACGAGGCGTCTTCAGTGCTGAAGGACCCCACGTGGCGTCTTCAGTGCTGAAGACCCCACGTGGCGTCTTCAGTGATGTGGACCCCACGAGGCGTCTTCAGTGCTGAAGACCCCACGTGGCGTCTTCAGTGATGTGACCCCACGAGGCGTCTTCAGTGCTGAAGACCCCACGTGGCGTCTCAGTGCTGAAGACCCCACGTGGTGTCTTCAGTGTCTGAAGACCCCACGTGGCGTCTTCAGTGCTGAAGACCCCACGAAGCGTCTTCAGTGCTGAAGACCCCACGTGGCGTCTTCAGTGCTGAAGACCCCACGAAGCGTCTTCAGCACTGAAGACGCCACGTGGCGTCTTCAGCGCTTTGTGGGGTCCTTCAGCACTGAAGACCCCACGTGGCGTCTTGAGTGCTTTGTGGGGTCTTCAGCGCCGTCCTTGTTTGGGACGCCGCTCTTTCCTCGCGGCTCGCGCCGTCGGCTGGCTCGGGGCATCCTGTCTAGGCTGACAGAAGAGTGGAGGCTTGTGTCCAGCACGGACGTCTGCATTTCGGATGGGAGTTGTTGTGGATTTGGTGGCGACGTGAGCTGCAGGCGCTGCTAACAATGCCACGCGATCCCTGTCTGCCGTGTGCGTCACAGAGGCTGTACTACCTGGCCGTGAAGGAGGTGTACACCGTCGGCTACAGCCTCTCCTTCGCCCTGCTGTCTGCTGCCATGCTTGTGCTGTGCCTCTTCAGGTTGGTACCGGGCATCACGTGCGCCTTGCTGTTTGTATGTATGTTGAACTTCTTTCGCACCATACCTAGCCAACCGCGCTAATGGGAGGTGCTGTCGGCTCGGAGCGGCAGTCGGTGCCTGGCTGGAAACCAAGGCAGCCTTGAGACGCCTCTCGATGCCTGTCACCACCAAGGCAGCCTTGAGACGCCTCTCGATGCCTGTCACCACCAAGGCAGCCTTGAGACGCCTCTCGATGCCTGTCACCACCAAGGCAGCCTTAAGACGCCTCTCGATGCCTGTCACCACCAAGACAGCCTTGAGACGCCTCTCGATGCCTGTCACCACCAAGGCGCAGCGCGAACATCGCAGTGAGGCCTCTCGAAGCCGGGCCCCTTGGGGGGAGGGAGGGAGCCTCCTGGCCGCGGGACTCCACCTACAGGGCACCGGTCGTCTGGATTCAGAGACTTGTAGTAGATAATCTACTCACAATAGCAAGGCCGTCAGGTTTTGTCAATTTTAGTGGCTTTCGATTCAACAGATTGCCACGATGTCCCGATGAACGAGTTGTGCCAAGCTGCACTCTCCACGTGCACGAAGCTGTCGGTGACTGTGGACAGTCACGCTCATCTCACTCCTGCTGCTGCTGCTGCCTGCCTTGTACACTGATTGTGACGCTCAGCTCACTCCTGCTGCTGCTGCTGCCTGCCTTGTACACTGATTGTGACGCTCAGCTCACTCCTGCTGCTGCTGCTGCCTGCCTTGTACACTGATTGTGACGCTCAGCTCACTCCTGCTGCTGCTGCTGCCTGCCTTGTACACTGACTGTGACGCTCAGCTCACTCCTATTCCTATTGCTGCCTGCCTTGTACACTGACTGTGACGCTCAGCTCACTCCTATTGCTGCTGCCTTGTACACTGACTGTGACGCTCAGCTCACTCCTATTCCTATTGCTGCCTGCCTTGTACACTGACTGTGACGCTCAGCTCACTCCTATTGCTGCTGCCTTGTACACTGACTGTGACGCTCAGCTCACTCCTATTCCTATTGCTGCCTGCCTTGTGCACTGATTGTGACGCTCAGCTCACTCCTATTGCTGCTGCTGCCTGCCTTGTACACTTGCCTGTGACGCTCAGCTCACTCCTATTCCTATTGCTGCCTGCCTTGTACACTTGCCTGTGACGCTCAGCTCACTCCTATTCCTATTGCTGCCTGCCTTGTACACTTGCCTGTGACGCTCAGCTCATTCCTATTGCTGCTGTCTGCCTTGTACACTGACTGACGCTCAGCTCACCCCTATTGCTGCTGCCTGCCTTGTGCACTGATTGTGACGCTCAGCTCACTCCTATTGCTGCTGCTGCCTGCCTTGTACACTGATTGTGACGCTTAGCTCACTCCTATTCCTATTGCTGCCTGCCTTGTACACTGACTGTGACGCTCAGCTCACCCCTATTGCTGCTGCCTTGTACACTGACTGTGACGCTCAGCTCACTCCTATTGCTGCTGCTGCTGCCTGCCTTATACACTGACTGTGACGCTCAGCTCACTCCTGCTGCTGCTGCTGCCTGCGTATAGCGGTGCTTTGCAATGCCGTTTTGTCTTCAGCGCTTGTCTCGTGCGTGTCATGTCCAGGACCAGTCCGGTCCAGGAGCAGGGTGCTAATGTCGAGGTGTGTTGGCCACGAGAGGGCTTCAGGAGGCAGTGCGCCTCGTTGTCTTGCGATCCCTCTTCCATTGAAACAGAGCAGACCTCAGCGGCTTACTCTATGGTCCACATGGCATGGCCACAATCACACGACTATTGCTTGCCGTCAATGTATCTCTTTGTCTATGTGTCTATATGTGTCTATATGTATCTATATATGTCTATATGTGTCTATATGTGTCTATATATGTCTATATGTATCTATATGTATCTATATGTGTCTATATGTATCTATATGTATCTATATGTGTCTATATGTGTCTATATGTGTCTATGTGTATCTATATGTGTCTATATGTGTCTATATGTATCTATATGTGTCTATATGTATCTATATGTATCTATATATGTCTATATGTATCTATATATGTCTATATGTGTCTATATGTATCTATATGTATCTATATGTATCTATATATGTCTATATGTATCTATATATGTCTATATGTGTCTATATGTATCTATATGTATCTATATGTGTCTATATGTGTCTATGTGTATCTATATGTGTCTATATGTGTCTATATGTATCTATATGTGTCTATATGTATCTATATGTATCTATATATGTCTATATGTATCTATATATGTCTATATGTGTCTATATGTATCTATATGTATCTATATGTGTCTATATGTGTCTATGTGTATCTATATGTGTCTATATGTGTCTATGTGTATCTATATGTGTCTATATGTATCTATATGTATCTATATATGTCTATATGTATCTATATGTATCTATATGTGTCTATATGTATCTATATGTATCTATATATGTCTATATGTATCTATATATGTCTATATGTGTCTATATGTATCTATATGTATCTATATGTGTCTATATGTGTCTATGTGTATCTATATGTGTCTATATGTGTCTATATGTATCTATATGTATCTATATGTATCTATATGTGTCTATATGTATCTATATGTGTCTATATGTATCTATATGTATCTATATATGTCTATATGTATCTATATATGTCTATATGTGTCTATATGTATCTATATGTATCTATATGTGTCTATATGTGTCTATGTGTATCTATATGTGTCTATATGTGTCTATGTGTATCTATATGTATCTATATGTATCTATATGTATCTATATATGTCTATATGTATCTATATATGTCTATATGTGTCTATATGTATCTATATGTATCTATATGTGTCTATATGTGTCTATGTGTATCTATATGTGTCTATATGTGTCTATATGTATCTATATGTGTCTATATGTATCTATATGTATCTATATATGTCTATATGTATCTATATATGTCTATATGTGTCTATATGTATCTATATGTATCTATATGTGTCTATATGTGTCTATGTGTATCTATATGTGTCTATATGTGTCTATGTGTATCTATATGTGTCTATATGTATCTATATGTATCTATATATGTCTATATGTATCTATATGTATCTATATGTGTCTATATGTATCTATATGTATCTATATATGTCTATATGTATCTATATATGTCTATATGTGTCTATATGTATCTATATGTATCTATATGTGTCTATATGTGTCTATGTGTATCTATATGTGTCTATATGTGTCTATATGTATCTATATGTATCTATATGTATCTATATGTGTCTATATGTATCTATATGTATCTATATGTGTCTATATGTATCTATATGTGTCTATATGTGTGTCTATATGTATATATATGTGTCTCTATGTGTCTCTATGTATCTATATGTATCTATATGTATCTATATGTATCTATACGTGTCTATATGCATCTATATGTGTCTATATGTGTCTATATGTATCTATATGTATCTATATGTGTCTATATGTGTCTATATGTATCTATATGTGTCTATATGTATCTATATGTATCTATAAGTGTCTATATGTGTCTATATGCATCTATATGTGTCTATACGTGTCTATATGTGTCTATATGTATCTATATGTGTCTATATGTATCTATATGTATCAATATGTATCTATATGTGTCTATATGTATCTATATATGTCTATATGTATCTATATGTATCTATATGTATCTATATGTGTCTATATGTGTCTATGTGTATCTATATGTATCTATATGTCCATATGTATCTCTATGTGTCTATATGTCTATATGTGTCTATATGTATCTATATGTATCTATATGTGTCTATATGTGTCTATGTGTATCTATATGTATCTATATGTCCATATGTATCTCTATGTGTCTATATGTCTATATGTGTCTATATGTATCTATTTGTATCTATATTTATCTATATGTGTCTATATGTGTCTATATGTATCTATATGTCTATATGTGTCTATATGTGTCTATATGTGTCTATATGTATCTATATGTGTCTATATGTATCTATATGTATCTATATGTGTCTATATGTGTCTATATGTATCTATATGTGTCTATATGTGTCTATATGTATCTATATGTATCTATATGTGTCTATATGTGTCTATATGTATCTATATGTGTCTCTATGTATCAAGATGTGTCTATATGTATCTATATGTGTTTATATGTATCTATATGTATTTATATGTGTCTATATGTATCTATATTTGTCTATATGTGTCTATATGTATCTATATGTATCTATATGTATCTATATATGTCTATATGTGTCTATATGACGCCAATGTTCAGTGCAGAGAGTGGAGCTGCTGAGCCGGTGCGGCAGCGGGGATGGGGAACAGACACAGCCACAGGGGAACCAGAGGGACCACAAATGGAAGCGTGGACATGAAACCCCACAGTCACTGATCGTCGACGAGAGTCGCGACCCCGACCAGCGAGGCTGCGAGCCGTCCGTGGTGTTCCCAGCGAAGTGCTTCTGCTCCTGCCACCGCACGCTCTGTGGGGCTCTTTCAAATAAAGAGCGGTGCTCTGTGAGCAAACACTTCGCCTTGTTTACTCCGGGTTACCTTCACCTCTCGCGGGGCACGACGGTGCTGCTCTGTGTGTGTGTGTCTGTGTGTGTGTCTGTGTGTGTGTCTCTGTGTGTGTGTGTCTCTGTGTGTGTGTGTCTGTGTGTGTGTGTCTGTGTGTGTGTGTCTGTCTGTGTGCCTGTGAGTGGGGAGCGGTAGTGTAGCAGTTAGCGCGCTGCGCTATGAACTTGGCGACCCCGAGTTCGATTCCCGCTCACGGCCAACACCAGTGACGATTATCTGAACCGGTCCCGGGCCTCCCCTAGGTCGACTCAGCCTCAAATGAGTACCTGGTGCGGTGTGTAAACATGCCACTAGGGAGACAAAGGCGGTCGGGCGTGGTCCTGGCCACCCACCCCCTCGTGTACCGTTCCGGCCTTCATAGGTGCTCGCTAACAGCACTTGCCCCTACAGTCTGTTAAGGCTATATGGGGGATCTTTGTTTTCTGTGTGTGTGTCTCTGTGTGTGTGTCTCTGTGTGTGTGTCTCTGTGTGTGTGTCTCTGTGTGTGTGTCTCTGTGTGTGTGTCTCTGTGTGTGTGTCTCTGTGTGTGTGTGTCTCTGTGTGTGTCTGTGCGTGTTTTTCTGTGCGTGTCTCTGTGTGTGTTTCTGTGTGTTTCTGTGTGTGTCTGTGCGTGTGTGTCTCTGTGCGTGTGTCTGTGTGTGTGTTTCTGTGTGTGTCTCTGTGTGTGTCTGTGTGTGTCTGTGTGTGTGTTTCTGTATGTGTCTCTGTGTTTTTCTGTGTGTGTCTGTGTGTGTCTCTGTGTGTGTGTCTCTGTGTGTGTGTCTCTGTGTCTGTGTCTCTGTGTGTGTGTCTGTGTGTGTGTGTCTGTGTGTGTGTCTGTGTGTGTGTCTGTGTGTGTGTGTCTTTGTGTGTGTGTTTGTGTGTGTGTGTCTGTGTGTGTGTTTGTGTGTGTGTGTGTGTCTCTGTGTGTCTGTCTGTGTGTGTGCGCTGCCCCTTACAAACACCGCGCTGGGAGTCGCATCCCAGGGGCAGGGGTCAACTCAGCCCATCATCACGAAGATAGATAAACTTGGTACCAAGCCGTGGGAGGCCATCAGCGGTCGCCATTTCGAAATTATGAGACCTGCCACAGGAATGTGGAATGTTTGCGCGACTGGCTCAGAGCCACAAGCAGAAGCTCGATTGAGCAAAAATCTGTGCCCTGTTTTTTTTTTTTCCCGTGAATGGGTGAAGTCTAACGTTGAGGGGACGTCACCCGTCTTAATGGCCTTGATGTAACAGTTAGCAAGCGACCATGAGCCGTGGGAATTTGTGTTAAGTATTTGATGACCGCGGAAGAGACGCGAGGATAACGAAGCTGGAGAAGAGGCGCAGAAGCGCGGAGAAGGCAGATCCGAGTGGTTGACCCAGCGCAGCGATGAACACTCAAGGGCCAGCTAACAAAAACAACGACAACAACAACAACGCTGATCTCTACCATCGCGTGCGAGTTGACGATGTAAGCGCGCGCGCCCGCGCGCCCCACGTCTCCTTGTGTGCACGTGCAGAAAGTTACGCTGCACGAGGAACTACATCCACGTGCAGCTCTTCGCGTCCTACATGCTGCGGGCCAGCTCTGTGTTGGTGAAAGACGTCGTGCTCTTCTCCAACGAGGACACCGACAACTGCGGATCGCCCACGGTAACGGCGGCGCCTCCGCACCGAGTCGAACTTCCCCGCACCCGGAGCACTGCGGGGCTCCCAGGGCACGCCGGTCCCACGTGGCCCGACTGCGGCTGCGGCCACTCCACGTGGCCGGCTTCCACGGCTCTTTCTGATCCAGAATGCAGCCGAGCGGTCATCCCACGCACCGGAGACACGGCTGGCAACCCCTTGTCAGGGCCCGACCTTAGTAGAGATCAATTCAGACCTTGTTGTTCACGCCGTGCCCCTTATAGATCTCAACGTTCATCCTACAAAGTCCCTCACAAGGGAGAAACACAAACAAATAGACACAAACTAAAGTTGCCCGTATCGAAACGGCTGCACGCCGTCTGGACCTGAAAACTAAATTTCCCTGTACAAGAATGCGGAGTAGACCTGTCGGGACCGTGTGGGTGGACTGTGTGGGTGGACCGTGTGGGTGGACTGTGGGTGGACCGTGTGGGTGGACTGTGTGGGTGGACTGTGTGGGTGGACTGTGTGGGTGGACTGTGGGTGGACCGTGTGGGTGGACTGTGTGGGTGGACTGTGTGGGTGGACTGTGTGGGTGGACTGTGGGTGGACCGTGTGGGTGGACTGTGTGGGTGGACCGTGTGGGTGGACTGTGTGGGTGGACTGTGTGGGTGGACTGTGTGGGTGGACTGTGTGGGTGGACCGTGTGGGTGGACTGTGTGGGTGGACCGTGTGGGTGGACTGTGTGGGTGGACCGTGTGGGTGGACCGTGTGGGTGGACTGTGTGGGTGCTCTGTGTGGGTGGACTGTGTGGGTGGACCGTGTGGGTGGACTGTGTGGGTGGACTGTGTGGGTGGACTGTGGGTAGACCTGTGGGGAGGCCGTGTGGGTGGACTGTGTGGGTGGACCGTGTGGGTGGACTGTGTGGGTGGACTGTGTGGGTGGACTGTGTGGGTGGACTGTGGGTGGACTGTGGGTGGATCGTGTGGGTGGACAGCGGTGTCAATGTGACATTGGCCCTGGGCAGGCGGCTGTGGGAGGGCACCTGCTGCTCGCCAGGACACACGATGTGTACAGGACACACGATGTGTACAGGACACAGAATGAGTACAGGACACACGATGAGTACAGGACACACGATGAGTATGGGACACACGATGAGTACAGGACACACGATGTGTACAGGACACAGGATGACAACAGGACACACGATGTGTACAGGATACAGGATGTGTACAGGACACATGATGAGTACAGGACACAGGATGAGTACAGGACACAAGATGAGTACAGGACACAGGATGAGTACAGGACACACGATGTGTACAGGACACAGAATGAGTACAGGACACACGATGTGTACAGGACACACGATGGGTACAGGACACACGATGAGTATGGGACACACGATGAGTACAGGACACAGGATGAGTACAGGATACAGGATGAGTAATGGACACACGATGTGTACAGGACACACGATGAGTACAGGACACAGGATGAGTACAGGACACACGATGTGTACAGGACACACGATGTGTACAGGACACACGATGAGTACAGGACACACGATGACAACAGGACACACGATGAGTAATGGACACAGGATGAGTACAGGACACACGATGTGTACAAGACACAGGATGAGTACAGGACACACGATGAGTACAGGACACAGGATGAGTACAGGACACAGGATGAGACAGGACACAGGATGAGTACAGGACACAGGATGAGTACAGGACACAGGATGAGTACAGGACACACGATGAGTACAGGACACAGGATGAGTACAGGACACAGGATGTGTACAGGACACAGGATGAGTACAGGACACAGGATGAGTACAAGACACACGATGAGTAATGGACACACGATGAGTACAGGACACAGGATGAGTACAGGACACAGGATGTGTACAGGACACAGGATGAGTACAGGACACAGGATGAGTAATGGACACACGATGAGTACAGGACACACGATGTGTACAGGACACACGATGTGTACAGGATACAGGATGTGTACAGGACACATGATGAGTACAGGACACAAGATGTGTACAGGACACATGATGAGTAATGGACACACGATGTGTACAGGACAGACGATGTCTACAGGATACAGGATGTGTACAGGACACAGGATGAGTACAGGACACACGATGTGTACAGGACACACGATGTCTACAGGATACAGGATGTGTACAGGACACATGATGAGTACAGGACACACGATGTGTACAGGACACATGATGAGTAATGGACACACGATGTGTACAGGACACAGGATGAGTACAGGACACAGGATGAGTACAGGACACAAGATGAGTACAGGACACAGGATGAGTACAGGACACAGGATGAGTACAGGACACACGATGTGTACAGGACATACGATGTGTACAGGACACAGGATGAGTACAGGACACAGGATGAGTACAGGACACACGATGAGTACGGGACACAAGATGAGTACAGGACACAGGATGAGTACAGGACACAGGATGAGTACAGGACACAGGATGAGTACAGGACACACGATGAGTACAGGACACAGGATGAGTGCAAGACACACGATGTGTACAGGACATACGATGTGTACAGGACACCGGACGAGTACAGGACATACGATGAGTACAGGACACACGATGTGTACAGGACACAGGATGAGTACAGGACACACGATGAGTACGGGACACAGGATGAGTACAGGACACAGGATGAGTACAGGACACAGGATGAGTACAGGACACAGGATGAGTACAGGACACAGGATGAGTACAGGACACACGATGAGTACAGGACACACGATGAGTACAGGACACAGGATGAGTACAGGACACACGATGAGTAATGGACACAGGGTGAGTACAGGACATACGATGTGTACAGGACACACGATGAGTAATGGACACACGATGAGTACAGGATGCACGATGTGTACAGGACACAGGATGAGTACAGGACACAGGATGAGTACAGGACACACGATGAGTAATGGACACACGATGTCTACAGGATACAGGATGTGTACAGGACACACGATGAGTACAGGACACACGATGAGTACGGGACACACGATGTGTACAGGACACAGGATGAGTAATGGACACACGATGTGTACAGGACACACGATGAGTACAGGACACAGGATGAGTACAGGACACAGGATGAGTAATGGACACAGGGTGAGTACAGGACACAGGGTGAGTACAGGACACACGATGTGTACAGGACACACGATGAGTACGGGACACACGATGAGTAATGGACACAGGATGTGTACAGGACACACGATGAGTAATGGACACAGGATGTGTACAGGATACACGATGTGTACAGGACACAGGATGTGTACAGGACACAGGATGAGTAATGGACACACGATGAGTAATGGACACACGATGAGTAATGGACACACGATGTGTACAGGATACACGATGTGTACAGGACACACGATGAGTACAGGACACACGATGAGTACAGGACACACGATGAGTACAGGACACAGGATGAGTACAGGACACAGGATGAGTACAGGACACACGATGAGTACAGGACACAGGATGAGTACAGGACACAGGATGAGTACAGGACACACGATGTGTACAGGACACAGGATGAGTACAGGACACACGATGAGTACAGGACACAGGATGAGTACAGGACACAGGATGAGTACAGGACACACGATGAGTAATGGACACAGGATGAGTACAGGACACACGATGAGTACAGGACACAGGATGAGTACAGGACACAGGATGAGTACAGGACACAGGATGATTAATGGACACACGATGTGTACAGGACACAGGATGAGTACAGGACACACGATGTGTACAGGACACACGATGAGTACAGGACACAGGATGAGTACAGGACACAGGATGAGTAATGGACACACGATGAGTAATGGACACACGATGTGTACAGGACACATGATGAGTACAGGACACAGGATGAGTACAGGACACACGATGAGTACAGGACACAAGATGAGTAATGGACACAGGATGAGTACAGGACACACGATGTGTACAGGACACAGGATGAGTACAGGACACACGATGAGTACAGTACACACGATGAGTACAGGACACACGATGAGTAATGGACACACGATGTGTACAGGACACACGATGAGTACAGGACACACGATGAGTACAGGACACAGGATGAGTACAGGACACAGGATGAGTAATGGACACAGGATGAGTACAGGACACACGATGAGTAATGGACACACGATGAGTACAGGACACACGATGAGTACAGGACACACGATGAGTAATGGACACAGGATGAGTACAGGACACAGGATGAGTAATGGACACAGGATGAGTACAGGACACATGATGAGTAATGGACACAGGATGTGTACAGGACACACGATGAGTACAGGACACAGGATGAGTAATGGACACACGATGAGTAATGGACACACGATGAGTAATGGACACAGGATGTGTACAGGACACACGATGAGTAATGGACACAGGATGAGTACAGGACACAGGATGAGTACGGGACACCCCTGTGCGGACTGAAATGCCCACGCCATGAGAATCGTTCACTTTGTGCCTTTTGCAATGTGATAGTTGCGGTACCAGCATGCCGTTCTCAAATACGCTTTACAATCGTGTAGACATTACAGACAATAACATTTTTTTAAAAGACGTAATTAATATGATAGTGACACTGAGCTACTTGTTGAGACTTGTGTCAGATGCCTCTAGACACGGACATTTAGAGTTCTTCCTTCAACTATACAGAACCTTAAACGATAAAACACCAAAATACAAAACAAACCCTTTCTCTACACCAGCAGCGTGCACAGCGATGGTGGTGATGATGGTGATGATGGTGATGGTGGTGATGATGGCGATGATGGCGATGGTGGTGATGATGGTGATAGTGGTGATGATGGTGGTGATGATGGTGGTGATGATGGCGATGATGGCAATGATGGTTATGATGAATATTTCGAGTGACTGATTCGCAGAGTTTAAACGCGCTGTGTGACTGCGTGAACGGGCTGAGTGGATTGGGCAACACCGCCACTTCTGCAATGTTCCATGCAACGTGGCTGTTTGACTCCAGCAACCGGTCATCGCCTGTCGCAGTCACATCTCGATTTCACCGCGAGAGAGGAGAGATTCGAGTGTCGTATTGATCGATGCGCACATGGCCATTACTATGGATGTAACCGGATGTAGCCCGCACGATGGAGCTGTAATGCCCCCCCCCATCACCCCCATCACCCCTCCCATCACCCCCCCCATCACCCCTCCCATCACCACCCCATCACCTCTCCCATCACCCCCCCATCACCCCCCCCCCATCACCTCTTCCATCACCCCCCCCCCCCATCACCCCCCCATCACCACCCCCATCACCTCCCCATCACCCTCCCCATCACCACCCCCATCAACCCTCCATCACCACCCACATCACCCACCCACCATCACCCCCCCAATCACCACCCTCATCACCCCCCATCGCCCCCCCCCATCACCCCCCCATCACCCCCCCCATCACCCCCCCCCATCACCCCCCCCCATCACCACCCCCCCCATCACCCCCCCCATCACCACCCCCATCACCCCCCCATCACCCCCCCCCATCACCACCCCCCCCCACCACCACCCCCCCATCACCCCCCCTATCACCACCCCCATCACCCCCCCCATCACCCCCCCCCATCACCCACCCCCCCCATCACCCCCCCCCTCCAACACCCACCCCCATCACCCCCCCATCACCCCCCATCACCCCCCCCATCACCCCCATCACCCCCCCATCACCCCCCCCCATCACCCCCCCATCACCCCCCCCATCACGCCCCCCATCACCCCCCCATCACCCCCCACCGCCCCGCCCCCGTCGCTCTTTAGAAACTCCTCGCGATCCTGGAGCTGCGCCCGGCTCGTGTGAGCGGGGTCTCCTCCACGCTCACGCTCGGAGGCGTTCCTGTTGCCCACTTCAAATCAAGCGTGGCATTGACGTGACTGATACCGTGTTTTTATTTCGTTATCTTCGACAGTGTCCGTGTAATACCTTAAAAAAATACCGTGGTTCATTTCGCTAACGGCTGGTGGCGTCTTCACACCATGAGCAACATTACCGGTGGATGATGGAGATGAAATCGATTATCCATTAAGGCGCGCGTGCTTCTATAATCACGCGCGCGGGAAGTTTTTCATAGCTGCTGTAACATAGCACGAGCCTTTAGTGATTCTAGGACAAGAGTGAAGTACAATATTCTTCGTAGCGTCACGCTTTGATGTTGAGGGCACTGCTGTATACAGCAGTTTGTAGTGCATATATATAAAGAGTTGCGTCCCTGCTTATAATATGGTTTAAAATGTGTAACGCTGACAGTTTTTGTTCACTCTCAAGAGCGAGGGAATGTTTCAGAGACGGTGAAACACCACAGGCAAGTGGGAAGGCAGCCAGAACTGGTGCCAACAGTTGTCCAAGCTTTATGGTCCTACATGGCGATGTTTTCACCAACTCCGCCCACGAGTCTTCCCACACCTGGCCTGCCCGAGACGCCGCCCAGTGCCAAGGGGGTCACGCTCAGTGGCCCTACGGGTGGAAGTTCTCCCACTCGCTGTGCTGCCGACGTTCCCTGGCAGGCCACGAGGTGGTGACATCGGTGCCCACAGGCAGGGAACTTGAGGAAATGTCACGAACTTGGCGTGATCCACAAACCCTCGCCTCCAAGGTGCCGGATGACGCCGTGCAAGCCGCCTTCGCGCCACTTCCGTTTCAGCTTCTCTCTCCCCCCCCCCCCCCCCCTGCTTGTGCCGCCCCCCGTTGGCGCCAGCCGTGGTGCAAGCTGGCCATGGTGTTCTTCCAGTACTGCATCGTGGTCAACTTCAGCTGGCTGCTGGTCGAGGGTCTCTACCTGCACACGCTGCTGCTCGTCGCCTTCTTCCCCGAGAGAACTTACTTCTACTGCTACATCGCCTTCGGCTGGGGTGAGCGCAGCACGCGTCCGCAGTCGGGGGAGCGCGCAAGTCGCGGGGCGATGCCGGGCGAGGTCAAGTTCAGTGGTCTGAAGCGAGCGTGCCCCGTGGCCTTGTCCCTCGTGTGCGCAGGAGCCCCCGCACTGTGTGCCCTGGCCTGGGTGGCCTCTCGCCTTCTGCTGGAGGATACGGGGTGAGCGCCGCACGACACGCGCGGCCTCTCTTCACATCGAGCACGGGCGGCCCACGGTGCCGCTCAGGCATCCAAAACGTGCTCGCCACGCCTGGGATTGAATTGCCTCAACTGGGCAGCAGTTTAGCAGGCAGACACTGTGTGTATGTTGAACTTCTTTCGCACCGTACGATGTAGCCAACCGTGCGAACCGGAGGTGCGGGAGAGGGAGAACAAACTCAACACAAAAGCCCCGAGGGATGAAGGGGTGTGTGGCAGGGTGAAGGTGCAGACGGGCCTCCACTTGGGAGACCCCCTCAATGGGGTACTTTGGCCTCCTCCTCCTCCACACTGGCCACGTGTGCCTTGCCGCTCGACTAACTGCGGTGTAGCCACCAATACTCATCAGCATGGTTGGCTACGTGCGGTGCGAAATAAGTTCTACATACATACTATGACCTGTCTCTGGGTTGCACGCGCGTGTGTGTGTAGGTCGATTCAGACTCAATTGAGTACCTGGTGCGGTGTCTAAAAATCACCGCTACTGGGGGAACAAAGGCGGCCGGGTGCGGTGCTGGCCACCCATCCACTCGTGTGCCGTGCCGACCTTCATAGCTTGCTACTCGCTGACAGCACTTGCTCCGAGTGTGTTCAAGCTACACGGGGGGGTCTTTGTTTGTGTGCGTGCGTGTGTGTGGCAGCTGCTGGGACACGAACGGTAGCACGCTGCCCTGGTGGATCATCAAGGGCCCCATCCTGCTCTCCATCCTGGTGGGCAGCAGTCGCGTTCACGCGCTGCACCCCACGGACGTCGGAGATGTTCGTCCCCGTCCTATCGCCCGTGGAAGAGGCATCGGTTGCGTAGGGGTGGTTTTGTTGGAATTGAGTGCCAGGCTGTGAGCACGGCCTTAACTGTTCAGAACTATCACAGTGAGCAGTAGAAATACACGCAAGGCGCGTTTATAACACGGCCGGCAATGAACCGCGATCTAGTCACAGTTTGGGTCAAAGCTAAGCTTCAGGCTTTAATGTAGACTGGCAATGCCCTCTCGTAGTCTGTGAATGCCCGAATGCAGACTGTAAATGCCCTCTGCAGCATACACACATTCCGTGTAGAAAGTGGATTTTTCCGTACATTTGTCGTTTATTCCTCCATGCGCTGCGTTTCGTTCTCGTGTTCTGAATAAACTTTCGTGCAACGCCCTCGGCCGTGCGTGCGCGATGCGAGCTGGGAACGGCCCTGGTGCGAGTCGCGGTCGACGCTCGTCAGAACCTCGTCGTCGTGGCCAGCTTCTACAGCGCGCGCCTAACGATCGTCTCGTCGCGTGTGCTGCTGCCAGGTCAACTTCTCCCTCTTCGTGAGCATCATACACATGCTGCTCAAGAAGCTGCGATCGCCGCTCGTCAGAGGGGCACGCAGCAACCATCACTACAAGTCAGTGGCACGCCCCGCGCGATGAATCGTGGACGCGATGTCGGCGTCTCGTGTGCGGCATCGGTCGTGAACGGCGGTCGTGGACAATGAGGGCCCGGTCCACGTGGCGTTTGTTTTCATGCGATGTTTAAAATGATGATGATGATGATAATTGTGGCGGTGATGATGATTACGACGATGATAGTTTTAATGATGACAAAGAAAGATGATGATGTTGAAAATAATAATTTCACTTTATCCAGCGCCATTCATGCAATTGCATCCCACAACGCTGCACATCAATTAGCGAGTTCCTTACACAGATGATATAAAACAAAACCTCACTACTTAGCAAATCAAACACTAAAAAATTAATACATAAATTACGAGAAAAAAGTACTTCAACGACTGATGACCCATCAAGCCCTAATCCCACCTGCTATAACTTTTACATAGAGAGCATACAATTGATTATGGAATTGAGGAGCCAAACGTGGACATGAATCGATTCATAATTTATTTCCTGCATAGGCTACGTAATGATCCGGCGACATTTGTGTCATTAAGACGCTCCACCACCCAACACAGCCAAACAATTGTCACGTGTGCAAGCGTTTAACGCGCTAACTATTCTCATTTGGACTCACTCACCGGTGCGCTGAAGAACGATTCTCACAGCTAAATTTAGGTACGACATTTAATTTGACAATGGGTCAAGCATCTTCAGGAAAAGATCAATAATGAGAACGTCAGACATTGCAAATAAACTAATTAAAGACCATGGGCCTGTTTTGGGGTCAAGGCCGTCCGCCACGGGGTGGGCTTTGTCGCGGCCGTGTGCCGCACAGGGAGCGAAGAGGAGCGATCAGCTAAGCTCAGACATTGCAAATGCGCGTTAATTTGTGCGGATGACATCGCCACTGCCTCTCGCGCGCCCCCTAGCGGCGACTGGAGCCGCGCTGCGTCTGAGACGCGTCCATGGCCCCGCGAGGCTCCCGTGGCTCCCCGTGGCCAGAAATCGAACTCACTGAGTTCCTGCAGTGCACCGGACAATTGGCCCGCCGCTGTGCTCAGGAATCTGGACCAAACTAGACACAGTTAATTGTGAAATAATGCTAATGGCGCGCAAAATCACCGTGTGAAAATTATACTTTAATCGAATCACCATACCCCCTCGTGGCAATCGAATTTCTTCAATTAATTTGTCACGTGGTGACGAGGAGACGGCATCCCCGTCGCCTGGAACGCAGTGGGTCGTGGCTGACATCCCGAACCGTGACTCCTGTAAGATTGGAGTTCGCGTGTTCTCTCTCTCTCTTCCCGTGGTGGTCACGTGGTCATGCGCGTTTGCCCTCCACATTAAGAAGCGTGCGTTTAGATTATTTGGGTGCTTTATATTCCCACATGGGATGAGCCACTTTGATGAGTAAACATGCGTGGCCAGGTCCCCGCTTAAAAAGAGCTACATAGCTCGGTGGGCTTTACCGAGTAAATAAATAAGTTTAGTTTCACTTAATTCAACCATGTGCAGTGCAGTGCGTATGCCTCACGGGTGGCACGTGCTCACTCGTGTAAGGACGGTTCACTCCCTTCCCAATTCCCGTGGCTCAAATCCCACCCCATGACCTCGATCCCACCACTGGGCTTACGTCCCATCACTTGAGCTCCATTCGCTCCCATCGATTCACAGTTTTTGTTTTATTTCAATCCCGTTGCCGTGGGGGTCACGTGGTGCGACACGTGAGTGCTGTCGTGATCTCCCTCGAGAGCTCCCAGACTGCCCTCACCACACTAAGGAGACCTCCCAGACTGCCCTCACCACTCTAAGGAGAGTTCCCAGACTGCCCTCACCACCCTAAGGAGAGTTCCCAGACTGCCCTCACCACTCTAAGGAGAGTTCCCAGACTGCCCTCACCACTCTAAGGAGAGTTCCCAGACTGCCCTCACCACTCTAAGGAGAGTTCCCAGACTGCCCTCACCACTCTAAGGAGAGTTCCCAGACTGCCCTCACCACTCTAAGGAGAGTTCCCAGACTGCCCTCACCACTCTAAGGAGAGTTCCCAGACTGCCCTCACCACCCTAAGGAGAGTTCCCAGACTGCCCTCACCACTCTAAGGAGACCTCCCAGACTGCCCTCACCACTCTAAGGAGAGTTCCCAGACTGCCCTCACCACACTAAGGAGAGTTCCCAGACTGCCCTCACCACTCTAAGGAGAGTTCCCAGACTGCCCTCACCACTCTAAGGAGAGTTCCCAGACTGCCCTCACCACTCTAAGGAGAGTTCCCAGACTGCCCTCACCACACTAAGGAGACCTCCCAGACTGCCCTCACCACTCTAAGGAGACCTCCCAGACTGCCCTCACCACTCTAAGGAGAGTTCCCTGACTGCCCTCACCACTCTAAGGAGAGTTCCCAGACTGCCCTCACCACTCTAAGGAGAGTTCCCAGACTGCCCTCACCACTCTAAGGAGAGTTCCCAGACTGCCCTCGCCACTCTAAGGAGAGTTCCCAGACTGCCCTCACCACTCTAAGGAGAGTTCCCAGACTGCCCTCACCACTCTAAGGAGAGCTCCCAGACTGCCCTCACCACTCTAAGGAGAGTTCCCAGACTGCCCTCACCACTCTAAGGAGAGTTCCCAGACTGCCCTCACCACCCTAAGGAGAGTTCCCAGACTGCCCTCACCACACTAAGGAGACCTCCCAGACTGCCCTCACCACTCTAAGGAGAGTTCCCAGACTGCCCTCACCACTCTAAGGAGAGTTCCCAGACTGCCCTCACCACACTAAGGAGACCTTCCAGACTGCCCTCACCACTCTAAGGAGAGTTCCCAGACTGCCCTCACCACACTAAGGAGAGTTCCCAGACTGCCCCCACCACTCTAAGGAGAGTTCCCAGACTGCCCTCACCACTCTAAGGAGAGTTCCCAGACTGCCCTCACCACACTAAGAAGAGTTCCCAGACGGCCCTCACCACTCTAAGGAGAGTTCCCAGACTGCCCTCACCACTCTAAGGAGACCTCCCAGACTGCCCTCACCACTCTAAGGAGAGTTCCCAGACTGCCCTCACCACTCTAAGGAGAGTTCCCAGACTGCCCTCAGCACTCTAAGGAGAGTTCCCAGATTGCCCTCACCACACTAAGGAGACCTCCCAGACTGCCCTCACCACTCTAAGGAGAGTTCCCAGACTGCCCTCACCACTCTAAGGAGAGTTCCCAGACTGCCCTCACCACTCTAAGGAGAGTTCCCAGCTGCCCTCAACAGTAAAACTTCACTTGGAGCAGGGCTTCTTCCATGGACAAACTTACAACAATAGGGAAACACTTTCCCACTAAAACGTGAATTGCGCTGAATTATATTTTTCAAGTTTGCTTGGCCACTCAATTGCATAGTTAATGATTGTGCTGCTGTGGTTGCAATTAACCATTTTTAGAGTTGTGGAGGGGTTACGATTACACAATACGCTTTTCCCGAATCATTAATGTCTACGTGCGTGTGGTTATGATACGTGAGCGCTAAAAATTTATTTGCGTGCGGAAAAAAAACCCCCATAATTGACATTGAGATAATGTTTTGTCACGGAAAGACGTGCAATGTGGTTAGTCATGAGTCAACATCTCGATGTTGGGGGGAGAGAGCCCGCGCCACGTGGTGTGTTCCAGATGTCCGCTCCACCCCTGGCAGTGCTCTCGGTGGTCTTGGGGTGCCTCGGTGCAGCGAGGTCGACGATGCCGTTCGTCTTCCTTGGATGGCCGCGTGGCTTGAACGTTGTCCTCCTCAACTGCATCCATGCGACATTTTTTTGGTCGAGGCGAGCTCGAAGTGTTCTGATAGTGGCATTGTCTTTGTGCTACTCGCCTTTTGGCGATCTCTGCTCTAACACTCGTGAGACAAGGCCATGCAAAAGGCTGTCTCTGGTGCAGGTCGATCAGTTGCAAAGGCAATGCCCATGTATTATCAGAGCATGTTTGAAGCTTTCGTGGCTGCAGGAATCCATACTCTTTGGTTCTTTCGGTAAAGTCACGTAGGTATAAAATAAAATAAATCACAACATCACCTGATGACGGACGCTTGTGTTGCGCCCGAAACGTCGTGATTTATTTTATACCTACGTGACTTTACCGAAAGAACCAAAGAGTATAGAGCATGTCTGTTTGAACGTTTTGCCACAAGTATGTGTGGGTAATGCAGGCATGATGCCATGCACATGGCATCTCGTTGGTGTTTGGACATCTTAACACGTAAGTTTTTTGCCAGAAAGGGTAAAACCTCTTCTTATTGTTCCTCAACTGTGCTCGCTCCTCAGTGTCTGCGATGTGCTGATGTTGTCGCTGGAACGTTCAATCGTTGGCCTCCGGTCATTTTTTAAAAACAGCTGATGGCTGAATGCTTGCTACCGCATAAACCAACACAATTAATCAATGAACATTGATTAGCCATTACATTGACCAGTTTTGTATCGTGACTATATATTATTATATTAACACAGTTGCTGATCACAGGCCCAGAATGTCAAGTGCCGAGCAGAATACAAAATAACACGATAAAAGTCGTAATAGATAAGAGCTCTAACATGTATTGAATTGAGCAAGGTGATCAAGATATTGGGAAGAGGGATGATGGGAGGGGATTCCAAAGCTGAGACGTTGCGAAGGCAAAAGCAGAAAAAGTGAGTGGGTGAGTGAGTGGGTGAGTGTGTGAGTGGGTGAGTTGATGTATGAGTCGGTGAGTGTGTGAGTGGGTAAGTGAGTGGGTGTGTGAGTGTGTGAGTTGATGAGTGTGTGGGTGTGTGTGAGTGGGTGAGTGTGTGAGTGGGTGAGTGTGTGAGTGGGTGAGTTGATGTATGAGTCGGTGAGTGTGTGAGTGGGTAAGTGAGTGGGTGTGTGAGTGGGTGAGTGTGTGGGTGTGTGAGTGTGTGAGTGGGTGAGTGTGTGGGTGTGTGAGTGGTTGAGTCGGTGAGTGTGTGGGTGTGTGAGTGGGTGAGTAGGTGAGTGGGTGAGTGAGTGAGTGGGTGAGTGTGTGGGTGTGTGAGTGGGTGAGTGGGTGAGTGAGTGAGTGGGTGAGTGGGTGAATGTGTGGGTGTGTGAGTGGGTGAGTCGGTGAGTGTGTGAGTGAGTGTGTGAGTCGGTGAGTGTGTGAGTGGGTAAGTGTGTGAGTGGGTAAGTGTGTGAGTGTGTGAGTTGATGTATGAGTCGGTGAGTGTGTGAGTCGGTAAGTGAGTGGGTGTGTGAGTGTGTGAGTTGATAAGTGTGTGGGTGAGTGTGTGAGTGGGTGAGTGTGTGAGTGGGTGAGTGTGTGAGTGGGTGAGTGTGTGGGTGTGTGAATGGTTGAGTCGGTGAGTGTGTGGGTGTGTGAGTGGGTGAGTAGGTGAGTGGGTGAGTGAGTGGGTGAGTGTGTGAGTGTGTGAGTGGGTGAGTGGGTGAGTGAGTGAGTGGGTGAGTGTGTGAGTGGGTGCGTGTGTGGGTGTGTGAGTGTGTGAGTCGGTGAGTGTGTGGGTGTGTGAGTGTGTGAGTCGGTGAGTGTGTGGGTGGGTAAGTGTGTGAGTGGGTAAGTGTGTGAGTTGATGTATGAGTCGGTGAGTGTGTGAGTGGGTGAGTGTGGGAGTGGGTGAGTGTGTGAGTGGGTGAGTGTGTGAGTGGGTGAGTGTGTGTGAGTCGGTGAGTGTGTGAGTGGGTGAGTGTGTGAGTGGGTGAGTGTGTGAGTGTGTGAGTGGGTGAGTCGGTGAGTGTGTGAGTGTGTGAGTCGGTGAGTGTGTTAGCGGGTAAGTGTGTGAGTCGGTGAGTGTGTGGGTGTGTGAGTGTGTGAGTCGGTGAGTGTGTGAGTGTGTGAGTGGGTGAGTGTGTGAGTGGGTTAGTGTGTGAGTGTGTGAGTGTGTGAGTCGGTGAGTGTGTGAGTCGGTGAGTGTGTGAGTGGGTAAGTGTGTGAGTCAGTGAGTGTGTGGGTGTGTGAGTGTGCGAGTCGGTGAGTGTGTGAGTGGGTGAGTGAGTGGGTGAGTGTGTGGGTGTGCTGGGTGAGTGAGTGGGTGAGTGTGTGAGTGGGTGGGTGGGTGAGTGGGTGGGTGAGTGGGTGAGTGAGTGGGTGAGTGGGTGAGTGTGTGAGTGGGTGAGTGGGTGGGTGAGTGGGTGGGTGAGTGGGTGAGTGAGTGGGTGAGTGGGTGAGTGTGTGAGTGGGTGAGTGGGTGGGTGAGTGGGTGGGTGAGTGGGTGAGTGAGTGGGTGAGTGGGTGAGTGTGTGAGTGGGTGGATTAGTAGGTGAATGTGTGAGTGGGGGAGTGAGTGTGTGAGTGAGTGAGTGGGTGGCGCATTGTTAACCGCACTGCACTACGAACCCGGCGACCCGAATTCGATGCCCATTCACGACTCATAAAAGTAGGGCATATTTGAATCGGTCATGGGCCTCCGCTAGGTCGATTCAGCCTCAAATGAATACCTAGTGCGATATGTAAACATTGCCACTAAAGAGACAAAGGCAGCCGGTCGTGGTTCTGGCTACCAATTCCCTCGTGTGCTGTGCCAGCCTTCATAGGGACTAGCTAACAGCACTTTGCACAAAAGTCTGTTAAGGCTATACGGGGGTCTTTGTTATTGGTTTCTCGTATGTGATCTGTGGCTGTGGTGTTGAATGCCTGTGCATGAGTCGGTCTGATAACATTTACAAAGGAAACTTTAAACTAACAACACAATGACCATTTTTATTTATTTAAAGCTTTCGTGACTGCAGTGATTCATATTCTTGGTTCTTTCGGTAAAGTCACGTTGTTTCCCTTCAACGTGACTATACCGAAAGAACCAATAATATGAAACACTATAACCAGTGAAGTTATCCGGTATATGCTCAATAACAACGGTTGATTGCGCACTTCCGATTAGCGCGGTTGGCTACGTACGGTGCGAAAGAAGTTCAACATGTGTATAATTACAATTAACAGAGCACTTGAGCTGGATACCAGGAAGCCCCGTTGGTGTTTCTTGTTTTAGGAAGGGATACATCTGTTATGTTATATTATGATTATACAGTAGCTACACTAATGTGTGTCTATGCTAGTCCTTCCCACATCTGTGCCACCTCTAAATGTTCACTTGGCGCGATTCACGAGGAGCGAGCACGCGGCCCCCATCTACCGGGCTGCCGAGACGCTGCTGCGCTCCAGCGCTCGCCCAACACCACTCAGCCCCCAAGCGCGCTCGTACCCTGCACGAGGAATGGGCGGGGGTCGTCTTTGTTCCCGTTCACGGGGTTCCGTGCGTTTCACGGGGTTCCGTGCGTTCACGGGGTTCCGTGCGTTCACGGGGTTCCGTGCGTTCACGGGGTTCCGTGCGTTCACGGGGTTCCGTGCGTTCACGGGGTGCCGTGCGTTCACGGGGTGCCGTGCGTTCACGGGGTGCCGTGCGTTCACGGGGTGCCGTGCGTTCACGGGGTGCCGTGCGTTCAGTTCACGGGGTGCCGTGCGTTCACGGGGTGCCGTGCGTTCACGGGGTGCCGTGCGTTCACGGGGTGCCGTGCGTTCACGGGGTGCCGTGCGTTCACGGGGTGCCGTGCGTTCACGGGGTGCCGTGCGTTCACGGGGTGCCGTGCGTTCACGGGGTGCCGTGCGTTCACGGGGTGCCGTGCGTTCACGGGGTGCCGTGCGTTCACGGGGTGCCGTGCGTTCACGGGGTGCCGTGCGTTCACGGGGTGCCGTGCGTTCACGGGGTGCCGTGCGTTCACGGGGTGCCGTGCGTTCACGGGGTGCCGTGCGTTCACGGGGTGCCGTGCGTTCACGGGGTGCCGTGCGTTCACGGGGTGCCGTGCGTTCACGGGGTGCCGTGCGTTCACGGGGTGCCGTGCGTTCACGGGGTGCCGTGCGCGCGCTCGGGAGTGCAGGCGCCTCGCCAAGTCGACGCTGCTGCTCATCCCGCTGTTCGGCGTCCACTACGCAGTGTTCGCCTTCTTCCCCGACGAGGCGGGCGAGCTGGCGACGCGCACGCGCCTCTACCTGGAGCTCGCGCTCGGGTCGTTCCAGGTGACTCGGGGTGGCAGCAGCAGCAGCAGCAGCAGCGGGAGGAGGAGGAGGGACTGTGGGTTGCCGGGAGTGCGGGTCGGGTTTCATTTTAATAACGCCAGCTGCTATGTATGGTGTCTCAGTCACTGACACCGCTGATGTGCGTTTGGCCGCTGATCAATGCGTGTAGGCGTTGTGCGGCATGCAGTCACGTGGCTTCGCAGGCGGATTTGCAATACACCTCTTTGTTTAGAGAGTTTCATTTATACTCGCCACCGATTATGCTTTATTACCTTTGGGAATGGAAGCCCTCCGTAATTGTTCGCTCTCATTAAAAACACGACAATGTAGTAGACATCGCTGTTTAAATGCAAAGCAATAACACGCGATTTTTGGCAACACTGCAAGGTAATTTGTGAATAAATATACGCTTATAAAATGTGATTTAAATGCATAGAATTTGAACGCCTTCACGTCGGCAGTCATGTGCGAACACGAACATTCACACATCTCCTCTCCCAAGGTCAAATACAATTTCCCGTCTTACTTATTTCTTGAGATCAAGAAAATATCTCTGGCCTAGGACCGGGATACCCGCGGGGGGATTTTTCTCGATCCCAATTAAAGTTCTGCTCGACTTCGCCTGAGCGTTACGGAGAACGCACCACGCCTCCAAAGCTAAACCGTTCATTTATCTCGAGAACGACCATCCTCTACTCGTCACCGTCTCAGCCACAAGGCCTGTGTCTGGTGTCGGCGAGGGGATATAGAATTATAATTTTATTTTTTGAATGCTCAAGAATTCACATATAAATCAGATGTAGTCAGAGAATAGCGAGCTTAGGTTCCTTATCTCGCCAAACGTAATTTCATGGGGCATACAAAACAATGATTTATAATAATTTCAATAGATTATTTAATTATGTTTTGCATAAAACGGATTATTACTGGCCAGGACTCACTGGTGAGGTGGTTGAATACCGGAAGCAGGAAGACTTATTCACGATTCTGGCAATCGCCTGATGATGCTGATTGTTGTTGTTGTAATCACCAGCGAAACGTCGTTTCCTCGAATTGAAAATGTTTCTCTGGGTTTGCTCTCCACACTCAGACGGTGTACTGAAGTAGTAACTAATTGGCACGGATTCTTGGTTCTTTCGGTAAAGTCACGTAGAAGGGAAACAATAAAATAATAAAAATATAAAACAATAAAATGTATTGTTTAATATTTTTATTATTTTATTATAAAATATAAAGCAATAAAATGTATTGTTTAATATATTTTTTTATTTTATTGTTTCCCTTCTACGTGACTTTACCGAAAGAACCAAGAATATGCCTCCCTGCAGTCACGAAAGCTTTGAATAAAAATGTAATTGGCACGTGTTGTGACAAACCTCACTAATTGGCTGTGTCGGGTGGAAGTGGGTTTACGACGCATTACATTTACGCGATCTGATCCAGACAACTTTATTGTGGATAATATTGCTCACGAAAATGTTACATTAACAAAACAATCAAATCTCCACTGCTCGGGTTCATGGCCTGGACACCACGAGGCTCCGCATTGCCACCAAACCTGTGCTGCATCTCTCCCAGAGAGAGGCCCTGTGGTGACCACCGTGTTTGTTTTTATTGTACTTGAGACGCATCATCACGTTCACCCGCAAATGTGTAAATTGGAATCGGTAAGCATTCTCTCCGGCTTGCGTGACCAATATCCTTTACACGACCCATTGGCTCCACGACCAACTGGGCAAGTGAATGATTCGATCAGCGTTCATTCGGTGCCAGCACACGCTGGAATGGTTTCGACGCGCGGCGTCTCATCGGCTGAGATGAAGCTTGTGGCTGGCAAGCGAACGGTCCCCGCGATTGAACTCTGCGCTCGACGCTGTTGTGTGTCCACGCAGGGCTTCGTGGTGGCACTTCTATACTGCTTCCTCAATGGAGAGGTAAGGGAGCACCGCAGACATTCACAAAACAACTCTCACGCCCGTTATGCCGGTCGACCCGTCTGTGTCACGAACCGCGGTCAACCGGTACCTGGACCTCCCGTAGCTCGACTCGGCCTCAAATGCGTACCTGGTACGGTGTGTGAACGTCGCCACTGGGGAAACAAAGGCGGTCGGGCGTGGTGCTGGCCACCCAGCCCCTGGGGTGCCGTGCCGGCCTTCATAGGTGCTCGCTAACAGCACTTGCCCCAACAGCCTGTGCAGGCTATAGGGGGAGGGGGCGGGGTGTGTAGGGCTGGCGGGGTATTTGTCGTGTTCCACCTGTAGGTTGCTCAGGCGTGAACACATCTCGCCGGCTTCTGTGCAGGTGCAGCTGGAGCTGAGGCGAAAGTGGCGCGGCTGGCGCTCGGAGCGTCTCCTCGTGCAGAGCTCCAAGCAGCGGCAGCAGCAGCAGCAGCAGCACGCGGCCGCGAGCGGCGGCGGCAGCACGCGCGTCTCCCTGCTGCTCAGGGGCAGCGCCGCGGGCACGCAGCTAACGTGCAGTCAGCAAGAGCAAACCACCGTGCTGTAGTCACCCAGGGAGCCTCGCTCTCCACAGACGACCGCTGATCCCCGTGGCAGTGTGTGCAGGAGGAGCATCTCAACCTTTTTGTAACAAAAAAATAGGTCGCCTCTCTTTTGGAACTCGCAGTCTACTTACTGAAGGTGTAAATATATCAACCTCTGAGATGTTATTCACATCCTTGTCGGCCCTGAGCGCACCGCATAGCCGTGGGCCTGCTTGAGGCGTGTTGCGTGGCGTCGTGTAACTGTGCCGTGCTACTTACGTGTATGTGGATACATAATAATAATACTAATTGTTTTTTCCTTTATGGCAATAAAACAGGAGTCGTTAAGATGTTCAAACGCCAAACAGAAACCTTTAGCAAGGCATCAAGTTTCTGCATTAACCACACACAGGATTTGTGGTGAACATGCAAACAACACATGCTCTGATAATTATACGATGCATTGTCTTTGAAACGGATTGACCTTCACCAGAGACGGCTTTCTTTCGGGCCCAGTCTCACCAGTGTCAGACCAGAGAACGCCAAAAGGCGAACAGCGAACATATTCTTATTTTCTCAGACTTTGATGCTGGTAACAAAAAGGGTCCCACTTGCGTGTATAGTTGGCACCGTATCTCCGACCTTGGGAGCAATTAAAAGTCCCCTGGCATACAACTTAATATCCAACGAATGAGGTTGTATTTCATATGCTCGTGGTTAGGAACACATTGTATAATTTACGAAAATTAATGTATTTTTTATCACCAAAAATCACTGATCACTGAAAATCAAGAGTCATTATTGAGAGTCCACATCGCCCTGTATCCCTGTCTGTGTTGTAGTATTTAACTACCTCAAAATGTCACGTGCGTAGCTTAGTCATATTAATTTCATTCCACCCGAAAATAATAATGTCACGTGACTTTGAGGGCGATGGGACTCGGCGAGTGACCTGCGTCCCACTGCGCAGCCTGGCCTCGCCCAGGACTCACAGAGCCATCCCATCGCGCCTCGGCACGGGTCGGGTTGTCTGTCCACTGCGCAAGCCGAGCCGCGCCACCGACGTCACGGCGCGACGTGACGTCGCCGCCGCCGCCGCGTCCTCCTCACGTTCTGTTCTATGGACATCGCGTGCAATGAATGCGTCAGTGGCCGCTCCAGGCCCTTCTTGCCCCGAGCCAGATTCAGATGTATCGTGAGGCCAGCGTATCACAGATGTGTCGCAGCGCGGCGTGGGCTGAGCCCTGCGCTGGCTCGGATGTGCCAGTAGACAACGGGTATTTGATACCGTCCATGAGTCAGAGGCAGCGACCTGTACTGTGGGACACCTACAATCTCAGCATACACATACAACTAAACTTACATTTCGTACAAGATAAGGCGCTTACTTAGCTAGAGAGCTCTTTGTTAGAAGCGACCTAGCCACAAAACATGGCTCAACGAAGATCAAATCTAGATTCAAGGAAGTCTCGATCAAATCTAGATTCAACGAAGTGGCTTATCACGTGGAAATGTGTAGCAGCCACACATTTGTAAGTGCGTGTTTCTAAATGTGGAGGGAAACACCGGAGGACCCAGAGAAAAATCCACACGACCACAGGGAGAGAGAAACGCAAACTCCAAATATACAGCAGCAGGCGTCAGGGTCGAGATCGAGCCCACGACCTCCTGCATACCAGGCGAGGTAGTTAACATCTCCTAGCCAGATGAGGAGTGCCCAGCTTCATTCCGTGCATATGAGACGTCTCGTTGAGGAGTCTGGTCAGGAATACACGGAGCGGTAAGTGCAGTGGCAGCCACACACTGCAGAGCCCTGACCATCACAATGGTCTGGAAAGAAATCAGCCTAACTCAATGGAATTGCCAACTCTTGACTAATAAGAGATCGCTGCTTTTTACATTTATCCTCAAGCTCCTACAATGCCTTCCTGTTCACTCTTCCTGTAAGCATTGTGGCGAGGATTGCTTCGACATCGGTACATGATCGAATTACTATCATCATTACCATCAGCTGTGATCACTCTGCGTTACTGTAGTTGGATTCGAAGCCACCTTAACATCAAAGGCCATTCCGGCCCAATTCCTATCTCCATTGCAAAGTCCAACTGATTTGGAACTGTGCCTTTTCGTTGACAGGGCAACAGGTGAAACTGGCAAGAATATTGCGAGTGTGAGAGATTTAGTAACGCGATTACTTAAATTGTCGAACATTCCATCGTGGGCAACAAATCACGAGTGTGTGACCTGGCGTCACTGCGCGTAGTAGTTCAACCTCACCGCACACACCGCACCGCTCTCACGCCCACTCAACGCGGAGCGCTTGTAAATTCGTGGTCAGTGAATTTTTCTTTTAATAAAACACCCGATAAACCAGGCCACTTTGTGTTCATCTGCAATTCTTGTCGTGGGGTTTTCTTTGTGTGCGAGATTTAAGGAAATTCCCTGCCCTTTCACAGCATGCAGCGGCAGTGTTGCAGAGCCTATGGGTTGTATTGCACGACCACCTTTAAATATGTCATGTCACGGAATTCATAACTGGAAATTCATCATCAGCCATGATTAATCTGAAGGCCTCCCGAAGCCGCTGTCATCTCCCGCGATCGAAGGTCTTGAACGGTCATCTCAGGAGCTCCACACGAACTCGTTCCATCGCTCCATCAACTCTGTGCACGGCTGCCTTCTTCATGAAGCTCTTGTCGCACTTTGTGGAGTTCATACGCCATTGGATGCTACAATGAACGTTTTTTTTTTCTTCCAGCAAATCTGAGGAGGTTCAAGATGTTTCCTCCATTCCCATGCATGCAACTGTCTCTGCGACCCAACCTTCGCAACACAATCTCCTCCTCCCCCTCCTCCAGTTGCTGGGAACCGCTTTGTCTCCAGCAAGTCACGTGGCCTGGCTCCGCTCCCACCGACGTCTGTCTGCGTGTCTGTATGTCTGTGTGTCTGTATGTCTGTGTGTCTGTGTGTCTGTATATCTGTCTGTGTGTCTGTATGTCTGTCTATATGTAGGTCTGTGTGTCTGTTTGTGTGTCTGTATGTCTGTGTGTGTGTCTGTATGTCTGTCTGTCTGTATGTCTGTGTGTCTGTATGTCTGTGTGTCTGTGTGTCTGTATATCTGTCTGTGTGTCTGTATGTCTGTGTGTCTGTATGTCTGTCTGTGTGTCTGTATGTCTGTCTGTGCGTCTGTAAGTCTGTGCGTCTGTATGTCTGTTTGTGTGTCTGTATGTCTGTATGTCTGTGTGTCTGTATGTCTGTCTGTGTGTCTGTACATCTGTGCGCCTGTATGTCTGTCTGTGTGTCTGTATGTCTGTGTGTCTGTATGTCTGTATGTATGTGTGTCTGTATGTCTGTATGTCTGTCTGTGCGTCTGTACGTCTGTGCGTCTGTATGTCTGTCTGTGTGTCTGTGCTATCTATCTTCGCGTAATCTCTGTGTGGCTCTTCCAACGTTGTGAATGGAAGTTATCATTTCTAAATACTTACTTTTTAATTACTGACCCGCCTATATTGGACATCCGTGAAAATGGATTAATAGCTCATCGGATTCCTCCATTCTAAATGGATAGTTTGGTTCCGTTGTTGGGGTTGAGCCCATTTCCATCGCCTCCAAGGTCAGCGGGCACGACTCTAACTGCGCTCAGCCTTTGGGCGCCACTCCGCCATCATCTTCATCATCATCATCTTCTGGTCGTACGGCAGCTGATGAAGACGCAGGGCGACGACTCCGATGTCACATTCAGGTGCTCAAGCCCAGGTAACCGTGTCAGGAGCAGCGCAGTGGATCGCTGTGATGATGCCTCCTTCGTATTTGCGGATCTGGGTATTGCGTCGTTATATGGTGTACGGTCAGTTCTGGATGACCACAGTCGCACGCGACTCCTAGAGAGTTGTTTTAGTTTCCATTTGTGCATCATCATCATCAGCAGGTATCCGCATCTACTGCCATGGTTTGTGCAGTGGATGCGGTTTCGGGTTCGGGTACTCTCACATCTTTGAAAAACGTCTGGTCAGCGTGGAAGAGTAGGCCAAATACATCATAGAGGATCTGCCTTTAGTGTATGCACACCCGAGAAGTCGCGTGAAGAAGACATTGCAGAGGCTGTGTGTATGAATGTTGAACTTCTTTCGCACCGTACGTATCCACCCGTGCTAATCGGGAGGGCCGTGCTCACCTTCACGGAGTTCGCTGCTAACGCCGTGCTACAGTGGCGCCACGCTCAGACATGACCCCGGGGAGAGACATGTGTGAAACCACTGAAATAGCTTTACAGCTCATCGGATTCGTCCTGCAGTATCAACAAACATTCTGATTCTGAGGTGGTGCGCGCCGCGGAAACCTCGCGCGTCTCTCGTGCCTCGAGCCCGCGTCGCGTTCCTCCTCCTCCTCCTCCCCCCTCTCCTCCTCCTCCTCCTCCCCCCTCATTGTTACGCCTCCTGCCACGACTCTGGCACCTCCTCCTCCTCCTCCTCCAGCCCCGCATTCCGCGGACCCAGCTCCCATTCTCCAGCAGCTGCCCTCGCGCGCTCCAAGGAACCTGCGCTACCGCGCGCTGCGCGCTCCGAACTCGCCATGCGAACCGCGCCGCTCGCCGCGCTCTGCCTCGGCGCGCTGCTCGGCTCCGTCGTGGAGCCGCAGCCCAGCAGCGCCAGCCCCGACTCGGGGGGAGACGCCGATTGGCCCGAGCCCAGCGCCGAGGAGATGCGCGCCCTGGGCGCGCTGCTGGCGCGCTCCCGCTGCGGGGACGAGACGCTCTGCGTGCCGGTACGAGGAGACGGGGTGGGGGGGGGGGGCAGCGCTGAAGGCAGCCGCGTCTCTCACACGGCCCTGCACCACCCAAGGTCGATTTGAGCCACCCAAGTTGGCCTCCGCCTGCGGTGTGGCCACACAGCAGCTCGATTGGCCCCGAGCCCCAGAGTCGCTGCAGTCGGTCCGGTCTCTCACCATCGTGATGGCGGTGATGGTGTCCGTGTCGATAGGTTGATGGCAGTAGATGTGGCGTGACGGCGATCGTGACATGCCGTCGTTGGGGTTCTTAACAAGCACACGACGATGGGGATGACAATGGTGATGATCTTCATCCTGAACTTAAGGACGACGGTCATAGTTTTCACCACCACCATTATCTTTCAGTCATGATGAGCGGATTCACCCTGACGCTGGAGAGGATGATGATCGTGACGATGCTTGTCATGACGCTATTGACCATCGTGCTATGCCAGGTGTAATCGTTGCACCACCGCTCCCCAAATAAATGTAGTCTGAATGTTCGGGAGGCACCCTGGTCTACAGGCACAACTAAGAGTTCCGTGGTGGTTATTGGACGTCGCTAGCACGCTAGGGATGGGTGCTGTCACCATGCAGGCGTTCTGATCAAGGCAACTTGTTTTCACAATAGAATAGGCTACTGACGACGCCGAAGTGGTGAATAGTGCCAGCGATGTCCACACCACACACTCGCCAGCCTCTCCTGCCAAGACGACACGTCTGGAGCTGGCGATCTCTCTCAGCTGGCCCGCTCCGGCAGTGTCACGCCTCTGGGTGCCACACGCTGACGACCCAACCTGCACCGCGTGCCCCTCCCAGCACTATCAGCGATGCGTGATTGTGTCCACGGTTTCTCCCTTCCACGTTCTCTTCAAACTTCCGAGTCATTTCCCCCTCAAGCCTGCCATGAAATTCCCGGCATCCTCTGCATGTCCATAGAATCAGAGGCAAGGGGCTTATTTTCCAATTGTTGTGCCAGGATCCTATTACTCCTGATTCGTAGCCTAACACCCCCATTGCAAAACAATGTTCTTTTAAACAGCCAGCTCGAGGGCATACATCTCTAGATTCCGCCTTGTAACGCCCTTGAAAAGCTCTTCAGTGAGCAGTGCGCACCTGAATACACAACCTTCTTCACAGCTCGGGCATTCTCTTCCCGATGACACATGGGGTACATCTTCAGGAAACTGAGCGCAATTGACGATTTCCTAATACACGTAATTATAGTTTACACTTTGTTTACACGTGACAGACATTGAGTGTAAATGCTATTTTATAAGCCATATGCTGGGAATGTGCGGTCAATGGTTTGTGTTTTAGAGCGGAGAGAAAACCACGTCCACGGGTGGCTCTTGAACTTTACATGTGACGCAGACGACGTCGCGTAGTTCTGAATTGACCAGGGCGGCCCGCCGCCATTGAACCGTGAACCTCTACAACAAAGCGACTCGCACGACTCGCGCTCACCGCCCGCGTCTCTCCCCCCCCCCTTACCCACCCACTCACCCACTTACCCACCCACTCACTCACCCACTCACCCACTCATTCACCCACTCACTCACCCACCCACTCACTCACTCATTCACCCACTCACTCGCTCACCCACTCACTCACCCACTCACTCACCCTCTCTCTCACCCACTCACCCACTCACTCACCCTCTTACTCACCCACTCACCCACCCACTCACCCACCCACTCACCCACCCACCCACTCACCCACTCACTCACCCACTCACCCACCCACTCACTCAATCATTCACCCACTCACTCACTCACTCACCCACTCAACCACCCACTCACCCACTCACTTACCCACTCACTCACTCACCCACCCACTCACCCACTCACTTACCCACCCACTCACTCACTCACTCACCCACTCACCCACCCACTCACTCACCCACCCACTCGCTCACTCACCCACCCACTCACTCACCCACCCACTCGCTCACTCACCCACCCACTCACTCACCCACCCACTCGCTCACTCACCCACCCACTCACTCACCCACCCACTCACTCACACACCCACTCACTCACCCACCCACTTACTCACCCATCCACTCACCCACTCACTCACCCACTCACTCACCCACTCACTCACCCACCCACTCGCTCACTCACCCACCCACTCACTCACCCACCCACTCGCTCACTCACCCACCCACTCACTCACCCACCCACTCGCTCACTCACCCACCCACTCACTCACCCACCCACTCACTCACCCACCCACTCACTCACCCACCCACTTACTCACCCATCCACTCACCCACTCACTCACCCACTCACTCACTCACCCACTCACTCACTCACCCATCCACCCACCCACTCACTCATTCACCCATCCACCCATCCACTCACCCACTCACTCACCCACTCACTCACCCACCAACCCACTCACTCACCCACTCACTCACCCACTCACTCACTTACCCACTCACTCACCCACTCACTCACCCACCAACCCACTAACTCACTCACCCACTAACTCACCCACCCACTCACCCACTCACCCACCCACTCACCCACCCACTCACTCACCCACCCACCCACTCACCCACTCACTCACCCACTCACTCACCCACTCACTCACTCACTCACCCACTCACCCACCCACCCACTCACCCACCCACCCACTCACCCACTCACTCACCCACTCACTCACCCACTCACCCACCCACGCACCCACCCACTCACTCACCCACTCACCCACCCACTCACCCACTCACCCACTCACCCACCCACTCACCCACCCACCCACTCACTCACTCACCCACTAACTCACCCACCCACTCACCCACTCACCCACCCACTCACCCACCCACTCACCACCCACCCACCCACTCACCCACCCACTCACTCACCCACCCACCCACTCACCCACTCACGCACCCACCCACTCACCCACTCACCCACTCACCCACCCACTCACCCACCCACCCACTCACTCACCCACCCACTCACCCACCCACCCACTCACCCACTCACTCACCCACCACCCACTCACTCACCCACCCACCCACTCACCCACCCACCCCACCCACTCACCCACCCACCCACCCACTCACCCACCCACCCACTCACCCACCCACTCACCCACTCACTCACCCACCCACTCACCCACTCACCCACTCACTCACTCACCCACCCACTCACTCACCCACCCACTCACCCACCCACCCACTCACCCACCCACCCACCCACTCACCCACCCACCCCACCACTCACTCACCCACCCACCCACTCACCCACTCACTCACCCACCCACCCACTCACTCACCCACCCACCCACTCACCCACTCACTCACCCAC